TACAAACAAGGATGTGAAAGAAAAAATGCATTGAGTAAAACAAGAGTTGTCTCTCTTTAACTATTATTTGTATTCCAAAGTTCACTGAAAGAAAGTTTGTGATAGTTTCTGGTAATAAATGTTTTCAACAGTTTTGCTGTGCAAGGGAAAGATTATGTGAATGTAAGCAATATTCAGCATGTGAGTGGTGGTGTGAGTGAGGAGATTGGCGCATTGTTTCAACTGTCGTGGATTCTTTTGAAATCTCACTAATTATCTAAGAATATTTCTTGCTTATATAGGTGATCATCGACTCCGAATCGCTGCGCAGGAAGAATTGTTCTTCACGTGCAGACAATCTGATTGGTTGGCATTGACCAATCAGCGAGCGAGTTTTGGGGAGACACAAGAAAGCTCCTGGGATCCGTTTCTCCCAAAAGTGCACAAAATCGACGACATGAAATTAAAGCAATTACAAAATTGCTGCGATTTGTAAATTGTCTGTTACAAAGTAGTATTGATTTATTATCCAATGAATGCATGTCGTTGTATGATTTGTATTTGTGTAAGTATGTATGTGTGCGATGTAGATCGTCACATTGTAATCCGTTTGTTTTTTGTTTTCATTTTTTCTTTTTTTTTTATTTTTTTTTTTTGCCAAAACTTGATTTGCTTTCTGAAGTCGGTAGTTGTCCTCTAGCTATATAGTGAACGTTTCATCTGTGAGTTCATAAATACTGCGAAATAAACTTGTTGTCTTGTAAATAGTTGTACATCAGCTCACACAAAGCACTTTAATACTTAAGATGCCGTGTAATATTTCTTTGAATTTTTTTGCTGAAATGTTGTAATTAATTTGCAATACTCCCCTCCCTTCATTTTTAGCTGTAGTGTCAAAAACAAAGTTTGGATAAAATAAATTTTTGTATGAGTTAGTTCCCTTATATCAGTAATCATAAGTTATCCCCCTTAGAACATAAATTATTTGAATACAAATTCTTGGGAAGAAATATTTTTGTTTTATCTGTTACATCCACTTCATTTAATTAATTTTTATGAAATTTCAAAAAATAAAAGTAACTTTTTTAATCTGTTACAGCCCACCACTCATTTATTTTTTATGAAATCTCGGGAACTTTTTCTTTTCGCAAAATGTTTATATTTGTTCAAGTCCTCGGAGAATTTAAATCATCAAAAACATTTTGTAAAAAACAGTAACCTCACTTACAAAAATGTCTACCCTAAAACAAAAATGCAATTTATTATAAAATTAATTGTACATTTTTTAATTAAAAAGCTTTTAATTACATCAAATATATGGACACTACTGTCTGCAGAAATGCTTTTTAATGTATTTTTAAAAGAATTGTTTTCATTTTTATTTAAATTTTTATTAAAATAATTTATGCACTTTTTAAAATATTTTAAAATTCTATATTAGTCTGTAATGACCAAATGATATTGTTATTAAATTAAAACTGTATTTACTAATCATAAAAAAAAAACAAGTTACAATAAGTAATTTAACGAACCCTAGTATTTTTTTTTTGCGTGTGTGGGTGTTGTGTGTTTGTGTGTCTGTTTTTGTAAATACAGACGTCTATACACGACATTATCGAAAAAATGAGAGAGGTACTTATCGTAAATTTAAAATTTATTGGTAATTTTTTATTAAAAAAAATTTTAACATTTTCTCACCAGGTATCTTCGTAAGTAAGAAAGCTAAAATTACCAAAATTCAATAAAATATTAGATCTCTTATTTTTTTGGTACTTGTGTCGCCACTTTTTAATTTATGTCTTGGTGGTCAGATGTGATATTTAAAATGTTTTAAATTCTGTTTAATTGTTTTTTCTTTTTTTTCGGACTGCTAAATGAATCTTTGAGACAACAAACCTTTTTTACACGTCTGTATTTGTGAAAAAGTTGAAAAATTAATTTTAAAAGTGGCGACAGATAAACCCCCCATTTTTTTTTAATTTTAAGATTACTGTGTACTTTGTGGGGTTCAGCGTACCCGGATTAAAGAAGAATTTAATACGGGATACCATGCCCACAAAATACAACGCAAATTTCAAGAAGAAACAACACGATAAGGAACGTTTATAAAAAATAGAACATTGTATATTTATTATCTTGTGAATAGGGTAAAAAAGATTAACGTTTTAGTTCGTTTAAGCAAAAATGTGATTTTGATAAAAATGTCTGTGTTCGCTGTCTTTTAACAGAGTAGCAGAATAATGTCTGTTTCTTTTGTTTTGTATAGTTGTAAAATGAAAAAGGGGCGAGCAATTTAAGTTGAAAAAGAGAGTGTGAATGAGGAATAAAGATAAAAGGAAAATGTACTTATGAATTGTTTTGGAGTCAGTTGTAAATTTGTTGTTGTTGTTGTTGTTGTTCCTTCCTACTCCACTTTTCGGCTCTTTGTGTAAGTTTGAGTCAGTGATGAAATTTACTGTCAATCTTCTGTGATCTTTTGCGCCCTTCTCTGACTGACTGACTAGTGACTGACTTGAGACTAAAACTCCTACCCTGACTAAATTCATTCTTATTCTTCATGTGCTGTGTCCTTTCAGGATGTAGGAGATCATGGCTCTCCACAATGTCCTCTCCTTCGTAGCTCTAAATAATTTTTTTGTTATTTCTCCTAAACCTTATTTCGCCATACATTTACTCAAGCTCACTAATAGGGTATGCGTTGTTTTCTTCTGTCTGTGTTGCCTTCAATCTGTCCTGTGAGTATCCAATTTCCCAAGCCCTATTTCCTCATTATCTTCCCTAGAAATTTCAACTGTACCTTGCAGTATAAACCATAATTGGGCTCTGTGGGTGTTGAACAGAGAGAAATTATAAATATCTGCAATGCAGGTGTATTGGGAAAATAGTAACCGGCCATTAAATGTAAAAATAAATAAATAAATAAAATAAAAATGTCGTTATACGTCGTCTGTTGGTTTGTTTTAAAGTTAAAAGGTACAAGCTCTCAGTTCAAATCTAGCGTGAAGTTTAGAGTTAATTTAAAAGATCATTGCTGTTGTCTTAATTGTAGATATTCTAATAAGCATTTCGATAAAAATAGCAAAAATGAGATAAAAAAAAAATCTACTCAAAAATTAGTATTAAAAATAAAGCTTATTGCTGGCGTTAAGACATGTGTAAACTACATTGGGCCATGTGTAAACAGTTTATCTTCGATAAAGTGGTTACAACGAACTAAACTGCAGTTCATAGTTTTGCTTCTAAGCAACTTTTATCAGTGAAAGGTGCACAAAACTAACAAACTATTAATAGTACATTCAAGTTCTAGTAGTTCTTGCGCGACAGTTTTTTTCTAATTATAGAGCAACTCCATTCATAAAAAGCGCTTATACAGCGCGTGTAAATTTCTTTTCCTTGAAAGGAAATACATCTCGCTAATCCCGAATATTAAAAAGATACCTGCAGTAACACACAAGACCCGAAAATATGTGAAATTTGAACAGTACAAACATTTATGAAATAGTCATTAAAATATATAAGAAAATACAATTTTCACAAAAAACTTGCTCGGAAATTGCGTTTTGTGCGCCTTATTATTAACAAGGCTAGATAACAGAACAAAATTATAGAAATTATTGGTTCTAAAAAAAGATTTACAATATATTTCTTCAGATCATGAAAAAAAAAATTGAGAAGGTAATACAAAAACTGTAAAAATAAGGAATAAAATACTCTTTAGAAAAAGGTGCACCCACCTAACAGATAAGCGAAAGTACCTACTTTGGCTTATCCCACAAGCGTCTTTGGTACCTTTAACGATATTTTGAAATGTCTTTCGGTTTTCTTTCTACTTGACTGCCCACATGCCTCACTGGAGCTTTTAATGATATTTTGAAATGTTTTTCGGTTTTCTTTCTACTTGGCTACCCCCATACTTCACTGGGGCCCTTCAACGATATTTTTTTAATTACTTTATGCTTACTGTGAGCTTCCTTTTCTCTTTGTCCTTCTTCTTTTTCGTCGCCGTAGAAGTTGTCGGCGTTAGCTTGAGAATGCCGCAACCTTTTAACCTTTTGCTCTCCTATCGGCGGCTAACAAGCGACTTTCACATATGACCGCCACAGATCCTCCCGCTCCCTGCAGCCAACCAGCTTCCTTCGCATCTTATGCCGTTCTCTGCTGACCCGTGTTCTTATATATTCAAACGAGGCTAAACTTTAAATTTACATCAATAGAAGCCACTTCTTTTAATTGGACTAAAATTTGAAAAAAGGAATCACCCACAATCGGTCATGTGAGTTATTTCTGGTGGTCTTTTTTTTTTTTTAGAGCCAATTCTAAACAAAGAAACTTTTATACACAAATGTAATTTTTTACGAATCGTCAGGCATTCTTTTATACACCTCTCCCAAAAGTGAGTTTATAAAACAAGCTTAAACTATTTAATATTTATTTATATATTTTATTTTATTAATTATTATTTTTAATTATTTTATATCAATAACTAATAACATGATTTTATTGGAAACAAAATTTATTTTTAAAAACACCTTGCAAGTTCATTGCTCATCAAGTGGGCTAAGACCTCTCCAACTTGTGGAATGAAGTAAAAAATACGCAGCAAGAAAGAACGCTGGGCGGTCAGACGTCTACGAACGCGTAGTCTAGGGGAAAAAAGTGGATAGACTATTATTATGAGGTATTGGCAGAAGACGTTAAACACTTTCTTTTTCTTTCTTCCTGAAACCAAGTGGTGTCGTTTCCCCTCTTTCCACACAATCAAAACGGATTAGTCTATTATTTATGGGGTATTGACCGGGCGTGAATTAACGCAGGGAAGGACAAGCACAATTATAATAGGAAGCCTCTGCCAATGCCTCATAAATAATAGACTATTGCGTTTTAATTGTGTAGAAAGAGAGTAAAAGACACCACTTGGTTTCAGGAAGAAAATGTTTAACGTCTCCTGCCAATGCCTCATAAATAATGGACTATTCCGTTTTGTTTGATCGCGTGGAAAGAGGGGAAAACACTACTTGGTTTCATTGAGAAAATGAATAAAAGATAGATAGATAGATAGATAGATAGATAGATAGATAGATAGATAGATAGAAGTGTTTAACAGCTGTTTCGGTGAAATGGGAAAAGTTGTCGATTCATTTTACGCACTTATTAAAATAATGACCAGCATTCATATCATTGTTATTGCAATATTGTATTAAAGTTATTAAGCTCAAATATTGAACAATGTGATAGGAGAATTTCTACGGATATTTTATTGTCGTAGAACTCACCATGAGCTTACTCAGTCATTAACTTAAAGAATTAATATTCATAAGATAAGAATATCAAAATAGGAAAACCACGAAATTTTCACAGGTTAAATCTAGTAAAAACAAATAATTACAGGGGCCGTCAATAAATAAGGAGAAATGATAGCAATACTTAAAAAAAACAACACCAACAACAGCAGCAACAGCAATAGTATCAGTAACAGGCAGTGTACATTTGTAACTGTAAGGCCACGGGACAATGGCCTAGTAAAACGCTGGTTCGTGAATTTGGCGACGTAGTAATTGTGGGTTAAATTACTGGGACGGGTAAGTGCAGACTTAGACTCAATGGAAACAGGCAGAACAATAACTGAGCAGGTACTAAAACGAGAACAAGACGAGATATCCCGAGGCATGGAACGAAAACAATCTATCCAGGTACATTGAATAAAGGGTTCAGTTCGAAATTCCCTGAATTTCGGATCGGCAAGCACCTGATTAAAGTCGAAGGACACAACAGCTGAAACGTTGTGATTATAGAAACGACAATATTCCGAGTGTAAATAATTTAAATGATAATAACTACTCATTCCAAAAATTGTATCAGAAATTTTATCTAGGTTTTGTCGACTGTCAACCGTTCAGTATCCATTCTTAAAAAGAAAATTTGATTTTCACTTAGTGTTTGTTCGTCAGTATGTAAGTATTTTTGCGACTATTTTCGACAGCACTGTAATAGGGCGATTGTCATTTAGGCAGGGCCAGCTGTAGGGTCATACTACTGTTGGAGATGTGCAAAATTAATTAATTGTAATTTAGTGAATCAGAAGGAATTTGTGTACGTTGCGTGACTTTCTGCATTCACAAACAAATAAATAAACGAATTTTAAATACAATCAAAAACAAGACATATTCAATTTAGAAACCAACAAAACATTTATATACAATTACAAGTAATATATATACAGGATATTTTGGTATATGTTACTATGGCAAAGTGTGTGTGATATTTGAGGTTTCGGTATGTCTCTTTTTGTATTTTTGTATTTGTATGTTCAGTTACAGTCTTTCTGGAATTGTGTTAATTAATATTAAAAATGTCGATGTTAAGTGTTTTTAGGAATAAGTTCTTATAGAATGGTCTACCTTTGACTGTAATATTTCTGAATCGTTCGAATGTTGAGTTTTACTTAATAATGTAGTGAATATAGTTCACTTTGGATAAGCAAAGTTGTTTTAGGTTTGCGATTCGATATCCACAGAGTTGGTCGAGTTTAAATTGCAAGTGAGTCAGCGTTGATGTACTTTTGCGAGGTAAAGTCATGATTTCGAGTGACGTGGAGTATGTTGGCATGTTCTCTGTGGATGTTCGTCTCTGACCCTTTTGGTCAGTCGGTGTTTTCTTTTATATGTTTTTGAAAGGTCCAAAATCGGCTCAAAGAAGTTTTGGCGCAATTTTGTTTTGCACGTGAAACTTTCAGATTATTGTGTCGTTAACCAATGAAATTTGTTGATTCGCCTAGTACGGTTTTTTATTGGTCGAAGTTTTCCGTACGTAGACGTAAGCACTGTTCTGTTACTAGGGGTGATAGGTAGAAAAGGACGAGTCTACACTACCACCAACCCCGAAACTTTGATATGGGCCCCTCTCTCTACTATATGTTGATATCAAAGTTTTCGAACATGGGGCCACAAACCCTCGAAGTAAAATTGAGAGGGAAGAGCGGCGTTTTGGGGTTGTTTTTTTTTTAATTACCAAAAATCAGTGAATTATCCAATTTAAATGAAAATTCTGTACATATTCATTAATTATTTACTTTTATAATGAACTAGCGGGGATACCCGACGTTACTCGGAAGAAATAACTTTATCTTAGGTTTCAGTGCTATGTTTGAAATTCAATAACATGTTTATTCATTGTCTTGATAATCAATTGCAAAGACTCAGGGGTCTAGATTTCTCAAGAATATGACTGGAGATATCCCTTTTTCCGAATGAGATTGTGAAGTATTATGCCATATGGTGGGAGGGAATTATGTACAAACCTTTTTTTTAAAAAAGTAATTAATTATAGGGTGGACATTCCACTGTTTATTAAAGTAGATATATTGTCTATGTATTTTATCAAATTAACACCAGTAATTATTTTCCTTTAAACCAGAAAATAATTACTTCATTCAAAATAATTTATTTGGTTTCATATTGCTTTCTAAAAAAGTATTTTACGCTTAAATTTTTTTTGTCAAGTAAAAAAGTAAAAAACAGATTGATTTCATCAAAAAATATTGTTAATTCAAAAATATATATAAAAATATATATATATATCCACAGACAGACTGTTTCGCTGTATCACAGCTCACCAGTGTGGCTAGACGTCCGGTTGCCTCTAGCTAGGATCGAAACCCGGCTGAATTTGCGTCAGTCGGAGAAGCTACCCTAAGCTGTTGGCGCACGGCAGTGATAAAGGTGAATTTAAGCGTATTTATTTTTAGATAAACACGCCAGTGTCTGAGAGAACTCGATTCGTTTTATCGAAGAGTATTACATTAGTAGCAGTAATAGTTACTGTTTACAAACTCACATTTTCTCCGCAGAGAGCTCAACCGAAATAATTTCTCAGGAACATATATATTGTCATCCACAGACAGTCCAATAAACTTACTGTTTAGACGTCATATTTTTAATATGATGGGCTGTCAAAATTACAAGTGACAGAGGCTTCATTGTGGTTTTCATCTGACCATGTATCTCAATAAAGTTTCAAACCGTCTTTCATGTCCTACAATATATATATATATATATATATATATATATATATATATATATATATTTGAAAGCATAAATATTTCTGGAAAATTTAAATCAGTAAAATTTTTATTAATAATAAAAAATAATTCAACAAACTGAATATTTTTGAAAGTATAAATAATTTTTAGAAAATTCAATTAAATAGTTTGGTAGAATTTTTATGATCCCCACCCCACCATCTTTAAATCGATTGTGTATATTTAGAATAAATTATTTGTTATTGCATTTCAATTTAATATCTAAACTTTTAAAAAATATTAATTTCAATAAAATGGTAAAAGAGGATTAAAAATTTCTCGATTTAAAATATCGAAAAAGATGACTTATTCGTTCGTGGAATATCTGATTATATTAAAGCTACTGAAAATTTCCCACCAAAATATCTACGGGAATTTATCCTGTTATTATTTTTTTAATTCTTTCTTTAAAATATTTGAATAAATATTAAAACTTTTTTTTTCAAATAATTGTATTTAATATTCTTCTTTTAAATTTACTTTGTTGTTTTAATATTCATTTTTTTAAGTTATGCTTTTATTTACTATAAATAGATGTAAATAAATTCAAGAGAATAGAAAATTTGAAAATACATATAGCGAATTAACAAGTAAAAACGATCGGAAATAATAATTATTCCAGTTCGTTTTTACTTTTTAATTCTGAGAATTTCGAAATAAAAATGCATTTTAAAATATCTTCGCAAATACAAATCATACGATAATAATTTTTGTACGAAAAGGTGGGTTGGGTGATACTGTGTCTGTATATATATTTATTTTGTCGTTAATTATTGTAGTTTTTTAGTTTTAACCGGACACACACACAAACGCATACACATAGAGACAACTGCCCTTTAAATATGTATAGATAGATAGATATTTTTTTATTTTTAAAAATCTGAGAAAATGTTATTCTCTTTGTAATAACCACCAATATTTTTATGACGAAATTTAACTCTAAAAAAATGTTTAAGTCGCAAATTTGTATATTTCCATAAAGATTAATCGCTAATGCATCTCCGGTAAAAAATAGTTTTACAGAAATTCCAACACAACACAAACGGTATTGTCTTAAAAATTTGTTTTAAAAGCAGTATTTCAGTTTTCGGAAAAAAATTTTCATGTGTTGAAATCTTTAAACATTTTTATTTTTTAAGCGATCATTTTCTCGGTTTTATCTTTCTAGAAATGTAAAAAGAAATTTTATTTAATTACTAGCCGTGGACTTGTGGTTAGTATTACTATTAGTAAAAAAAATCAAAGATCCTCCTTAGTTGATGAGCTCGGAATAAAAAATGATTTTACCGAGATATATTATCCTCTTAATTGATTTAAAAGAACTGTTCAGAAAGAAAATTACAATTTAAAAAAATAAGCGCTATTGAAATTAGCACTTCTGACACCCTGCTCCCCAGTAGACATGGAGCCCCCATTTAGTTTATTTGAGACAATAATTAGAGACGACAAAATAATTTTATTCAGCAGTGAAAACAAATGTAAAAGAGACACAATTCCCATACAATGATTCTTTATTGCTAATAGGTTGAGCTCTGTTAAAAAAAGACTCCTTCTTCAAAGCTACTCACCACACAATACTCTCCACTTATTACAAGACAGCACAACCTGCATTACAAGTAAAATATTTTCCCCATTAGCATTCGTTCAACTTTTTATAATGCGCACTTAAAAAAAGGAACTTCAGTCACTTTCCAACCGCCGTGACGTACTTTCCTTGCACCTTCTCTGTAAAAATCTTCATGATAATTGTTCTTTTTTATTCAATTCGCCTCAAGCAAGGCAGCAATGCCACTAAGACGCAATGGGCTACCAGGAGTTAAAGCGAATTAAAATATTTTAGAAGGAACCGAAAACTGAATCCTAAACAGGAAAGAAAGGATAAATCTCTACTTTTGTTCAAAAGACCAGGGAGGAGTGTGAACCGAACAATAGGCGAACCTATTTACTCCTATTGAGAAAAAAAAATGAAAAAAATAAATAATTAGTAAATAAAATTCCAGAGTTCAGACGGAGTTGTTAGAAGTAGA